GAAATGCCAATAAATAAGGTAAAGTAAACATGCTTTGTCTCTTGGGGGGAAGGAGGGACCTGCTCTATTTTAAAGGAGTTTATTTCTAGCAGAGATCTAATATAAATGAGTTGAGATTGCTTTCTGAGACATTTATATATTTCTTCTAATATAAAAGGGAAGGTGATAAACTTTTCTCCTTGATAAGTCAAAAACAAAGACAGGCAAGACAACAAGTTTGATTGGTATTTTGGAAAACATTAATGGCATTTAAATCCTTTTCAGAAAGCTTCTTTATTTGTATGTGAATTTTATAGTATTGTAAATATAATGCAGCTTCCTATCCTGAGTAATCTATAGAATTTATAGCTGCAATTGATGAGTCAATCAGCTTGGTCTAATTTCTTTTTCTTTTTTTTTTTTTTTTTTTTTTTGTCCTTTTAGAAATACTTTAAGTCTTGCATATAGAATAAAATTCACTGAAAGAGTCTTTAAAAAGTCTGTTTTTCTCTTTTTATATGTTGCTTATCTTTCTAAACTTTTATCAAGTATAAATATATGACAACTTTCTTTTAAGGAACTCAATGCACTTTAGAGACATACAACTCAGTTCTCTAAATGCACAAGGTAGTTCCTCAGGTATTTGCCATGATGATTGTATTTATTTTTTTCTTTTTTCAGAATAAACAAGTAGCAAACATAGTTGTGTATGGAAGGTATAATTTACTAAGTGGTACAATACTGGTTTGAAAGTGTCATTATAGCTGCTACAGGGAACAACCTTCACAAGGAAGTTTTGGTTTTCTATCTTGTTTGGTTAGTGACTGAACAGGAACTCAGTGTGATATACCACATTGAAGCTGAGTCAGGCTCCATTTAATAGACAGAGAAACTGAAGCTCAGAGAAATTCATTCACATTCAACTTCTATACTTGTGAAGAAAGAAGTAGGGAACAGAGAGCACTTCTTTTTATGCCAAGACAAATGGTAGTTTCAGAAGACCACCCATACTTGCTGTGTTATTTTCTTTCTTGGAGGTATAGCCAATTTTATAGTTTTTCTTTTCTTTTTATATTTAAAAACCAAGACCCATTAAGCTAGGGAAAATATTTTACATTTGAACTACCGAATGCTAAACTGGTGACCAAGAGCAGGTTATGTAACAGGATAAAAGTGAGACATTTTAGACAGGGGTTTAAACATCCACCACCCTGGTGGGTGGTGGTGGTGGTAGATCTGAAGCTTTAGAACAAATAAGATTTTTATGGTTTGTTCTATATTGCATGATTTATTTTTTATTTTTTGAAAAAGAAAAGTGCTTTCTTCAGGTTTGGTCAGCCCTCAGCCCACTTTGATTTAATTCTTCAAAACATTCCTGGTATTTTTCTTGTTTTCAACTTTCATGTTCAAAATTATTATTTTAGGCTCCCTTATTATATAGTCAGTAACCCTTCAAGCTGTTCTCCCTAATCAACTCAAGATAATGGTCTTTTGGGTTTAACAGAGAGCTTGAACAAAGTCGAATTTATCACTGATTTTTCTGTTACGCCTTTTTTCTAATTCAGCAAACAATAACCTTCCACTCCTCCCAGACTGGCCGTAGACACCCATTTTCTTAGATGAAGCAAGGTATATTTTAGACTTTTAAAATATATTGTTTTTCTGTATTTATTCTAATACCTATTCTTGTACTGATTAAAAGATTTTAAGGGTGACCTGTGACCATGTGTGTGCCCCATGTTCATGACAATTCATCCATTGAACCAAATATCTCTGATTGCCTATCACCTCAAAGCAAGAGAAAATCCTGGAGATCATGAAAGGGCTAAGTGGACACCAACTTATAAATACTGGAAAGAGTCACAGAGAGTGCTCCCCTGGAAGGCGATTTGACCGCCCAAGAATGGTTTCCTTTCAAAGGACAGGTTCTCAATTCTCAGGGAGAACCACTTCTCCGCCAGAGAAGGGCTATGGTGATCAAGGAGGTCCCTGTGGTATAATTTTAGCTTTTGCAGAATTTTCCATTGCTTATTTTCAGCACTACTGCTATTTCATCATTTCAATGATTGCTCCCCCAACACAGACTGACGATTTTATTGGATGCAGAAGGGACTGAGTTGGATTATATTTCACTGAACAGCTACATAGCCCATGTAAAAACAGTCTTTGGAAATGAAATAATCCCATCTAATGGACTGCAGTGCAAGAGACACCATAAAACCAGTTGATGGGAGGTTGACGATCCAAAGCTAGAACACAGACTAAATTTTGACCAAATTAAAATTCCTGAAGTTTGTGCAGGTTTGGAAGGTATTATTATTTTATATTTAACATAAAGGTTAAACTCATTAAATACTTAATAAGCATAAAGTTGCCAGGAGTTAATGAACTGCTGCTGTTTTCTACAATGAATTTATATCAAAATTGGGGGAGCCAATTTAAGGTGGAAAATGAATTCTTCCTTCGATCCTGTCTTGAGCAAAGAATTGTTCTGTTACCATTACCATTTCCATAATAGTAAAACATCCATTTAACTTTTTTTCTGATCTGGACTTGTAATTTTGAAGAAGATTGTATCTCTTTTACTACTAAAGAATTCCGGAAGTTTTATTTGACTGTTGATGTATGGTATAATATTTGGTATCTTTCCTGCTACATATTTACTTTGACATATGAATAAGACAAACTTTGATTACTGCAGGAATGTTACCATGCTAACTCTGTTCTGGAGAAGTACTTGCTTCACAAGTTTTGTATATGTGTAACATTCTTTCTCATCCACAGTCAGTCACCTAAAAGTCAATGGTGAAGCAGGTTCTTCTGAAATGTCTAAGAAATGGAGGGTGCAGATTAATCACGACAGACACTTCTTCAGGATGATCCTGGAACTTGCCTGCTGTGTTACTTTGCTTTGTCTACGTCTTGGACACTCTAGGATAACTTGACACACCTAGGAGCACCCATCTAGTCTTTGAGTCTTGATTTTTTTTTCTTTTCAAGCTCACCCCCAAGTTCACAAAGTCTCTTTATTGTAGAAGAGAAATATGAAATGGTAAATGAAATCCAGCATATCCTGTAACAGGAGGAGGAGAGACAAGATTGTTGGTGCCAGGAAAATCTGGCAATTGTTATAGGGCTCAAAATCTGGGATTAAAGGGAAGGACTCAGGAAATCAAAACCATGTCCATAGAAACTGGAAGAGCAACTAGCACTTAACCATGAGCCAAATTGCTCTGCTAGCTGCTTTATGTGTAATGTTTCAAATCCTTCCAGAGGTGAATGATGTTTTATTATGACCATTTTACATTGGGGGAGGGGGAGGAACCACTGAAGTTCAAAGGAGTTTATTATCTTGCCCAAACTCACAGAGGTAGATCTAAGCAGAGCAGCCTGATAAAAAGTCTACATCCGAAGTAGTAGTTAGGCTGCATCAAGATACCTCTGGAGGGCTGCAGCCATTTCACAGTAAAGAAGACAAACAGGGTTCTTGGAGCCAGGGCAGCAGTTCGAACCCGAGTGGTTAATGATGATTGAGTGCCTGGCGAATTCTGAGCTATTCTGGGGAGGTCATATGGGGGAATTGATCTCAACATCCGGGGTGGGATTGTGTTGACAGGTCTGGCTTAAGTAGTCTCCCAGAAACTGGGCAATTGAGGAATTACTTATTAGGGAGGTAGGCAGTTAATTACACACCATAAATTGGAGAGAGGTTATCCAGTTCAGCTATTTAGGTTCTGTTTGGTCTTGATTCCTGGTTAGAGTCTAGGGAAACCATTTTTCTCTTTGTAAGACAGCTTGGAATCCATGATGGATTTAGGGACAGGAGAGAACAAAGCCTAATTGCTCAGCCTTTTGAGCTTCTTGTTCATTATTCTTTCATTTTCTTCGACATTGGCCTCTGCAGATGATGTTCATCTAAATACTACTGTGAGCATGATCCCTTTTTGGTTGGGAAAGTCATTACCAGAGGAGCACAATCACTCTCAATTAACACATGGGTCAGTAGGCAATCATCAGCTAATAAAAACTTTTGCATTCTGTGCATGATTTTAAAAAGGGCCATAAATTTGGAAGTGACAATGATTCTCATCAGGTGTTCATGAGAATAGAAACTCATTATATATCGCACAGCTCTTCAGTGATCAAAAGAATTTTAGTGGCAAAGAGCAATACTGCATAAAGAACGGTCATAGAAACCAGTTGTCTTTTATTTTGCCTATCATTCCTTTAACTATAAGAATCAATAAGAATCTTCTGGCCCTGATGAGATTGTGAAACCATACATAACTTTTCAATTAAGACTAAGTAGAGTAAATTAATATAATTGTTTAAACAAGTTTACAAGTCCTGTTCTTGCAGCAATAAAAGTAGCTTTTTTTGTGTGTGTGTGTGCGTGTGCTTGAAAATAACTCAGTTCTTTTAAAGAATTAGTCTTACAATTAGACTCCTATGGAGTAGGTGAGCATTACTGTCTTCATTTTGTAGATAAGCAAACTGGGGAATACATAGCCAATGACACATTATGTCACATTCCACCAGGGTCAGTACTAAAGTACCCAGCAATGAGTCCTCAGGCTGTGAATTATCTCAGTGAGACACTTCATCAGTCAGTCACTGATCTTACCCTTTGCCATCATGCTTTTGGCAAACATGCATCAGTACTATTTCTCTCCTGCATGGTGTTTTGATAGAGCCTTTCAAGAAATGGAATATCTCTTTAAGAGAGAGAGTCCTTGGCATCTGTATCCCCACTGGGAGAATATCAGGCCAAGAATGATCTCATGATATTACATATGAACCCTCCTCTTGACAGCTCTTTAGAACCACCAAACAAGCACATGTACACATATATCCTCTTACCTGTTTAGGTGGTCTGTGCTTACTTCTCCATTGAAAGGCATCGCATGTGCATAGCCAGCCTCAGACTGGTTTGTAAAAATAACCCACCAATATGAAATGGCCATTGTCACCTTTGCTTTCCTAGACACCAATAAAGGTCAGCTATTCAGTAATTAACTAGACTTGTATTTCAACCTAAGAATTGCTGTTTCTTGTAGCAGCGGTTTAAACAGAGCTGCATACAGCAAGTGGATCTTGTCACTTTTGGGAGGCTATAGTTTTGCCCCTCAAAGTGAATTTGTGAAAAACAAAAACAAAAACAAAAAAACAAAAAACAAAATCAACTACAGACATTAGACAATTCATGATGTTTGAAGTAGATTCAGTGAAAAATCTGAAAAGTAGGTAGGGTTGATGCACATAGTAATCATGACATCTCTAACATCATTCTCTCCAAAATCTATATAAAACCCAACCCTATAGCCTACCCTATAGTTTTTACTTCACTACTGCAATGGCTAGAATTCCATGCAGTGACGACTTCTTTGTATCAAAACTTCTCTGGTTACCAAAACAAGTTGGTGGACTACCAGTCATCTACAGATTGTGTGTTACCCTATCATAATTCACTCTTCAAGAGCCAGTCCAAACAGCCACTTCCCAGAGAGAATCTTCTTCCTAGTTAATACCACCACCCCAAACCCAGTTCCTCATACCACAAACATTACCCTTGATCTCATGTCCAGTGCATTAAGTCCCATTGATTTCTCTTTATTCTTCAAAATACACCCAAGCACATACGTGCTGCTAGAATACCTTGAAGCAAGTCAGAGTTGTTTCTCAGCTTCACTTTTTCATGCCTTTCTGAGCCATGCTCTGTGATACATTCTCCACTCAGCAGACAGAATGATGGGGAAACACTGAATCTGGTCAAGTCTGCACCTCTTCCCTAAGAATGCTCCACAACTGCTGCTTCCTCGACTTGGTTTCCTCCACTTCTTCTCTTTCACTCTCCTGGATTTCTTTCTTTCCCTCCCTCCCTCCCTCCCTCCCTCCCTTCTTTCCTTCCTTCTTAAATTGCTAGACTCTGGCTTCCCAGAGTCTGTGTGCTGGATGTTTTCAGCTTTTACACTGCTCCTTCCAGGTCTTGGAATGGTTCTCCATCATTCCATCTCAGGTCAAAAGCCCTCTATCTGCTTGGGAAGTTTTCCCTAACTCTACTTGCCAAAGCTGATTGCTTCTCCTACTGCTCTCCCTGTGCCCACTGTTCACGTCATCCTTTTATTTTCCGAGCACTGTCAGTATTCTGAAAATTGTCTTATTTGTTTTTATGCTTGTCTTTCTAACCATGGGAAAAGGTAAGTTTCAAGGCAGAAATTCTGTTTTTACCATAGTGTCCCTGGTTTCCCTGGAATACTGTAGATGCACAATCAATAGCAACCATAACTACTAACACAAGGCTTTCCTCTTGATCCCCAGATTCGACCAGCTGCTCTCGGTTATTGTACTTGCGTGAGGAAGATGAGAGTCCATTTTAGGGTCTGGGGCTCTTCAAGAGAGCAAAGGCAGCCTAAGTGAGATGTCATGGTGGGAACCAAATCTTAGTTCACTGAGAGAACATCTGGAACCCATGAGAAGAGATGGCAGCAAATGCCTATAAGTCTGAGAAAATAAATAAATGACCCAATTTTGAATCTCAAAATACATAACTATTTTGTTATCTATAAAGCAGACATAACTGTGACATTTATCCCATCGGATTGTAAATGGGTATAAATACTGAACACAAAGACTAATTAATCTATAGCAAGTGCTCAAGAAAAGAGAACAAAAAAGAGTACACCCACTTTCTCCACACACAAACACAGATTATTGTTTCAGAGTTCGATTACATTTTTGGTTAAGCTTAGGATAATTGTTTATAGTAATTCAATGGAAAATCATATACCTAAACAGCCATCTTCCATATAAATGCTTTTTAGAATACACACAGATTCCAATTTGCAAATATTGATAATTCCAATTTGCAAAATATTGTGCTTCAATTTTTGTCACCAAGTTGCTTTCACGGATACATTTTCCCACATTCTCTCTTTCCAGCACTCGTTCTATTGTTATTGAACAATTGACTTAAGAGTGTATGTTAACTGTAGAAATGGGACAAAGGCTGACGTGTAATTCCTTGTGTTTTTCTTAGAAATAAGAAACTAAATGTAAACAAAAGTAATTCAATTCCAGGGCATAGTAATCACTATGTTTTATAATACAACTGAGACAAAGGAATAGAGAAGAACTTGTTACATTCAAATTGTATCTGAAAAGCTTACATGATAGGCTGTGAAGGACTATTACATCCTAATTTATTCTACTTTCTGTTATTTAGTCTGTTTTTTCATTAGCTAAACATTCTTGCTTGTGAAAGCTGCTTTAATCTTGGAGACTAATAGTTAAAAAGGATGAATTATGCAATTGAGTTTTTACTTCTTTCAATTTTGATTTCTTAATTATTTCACTTAGTTACACGAAAATGGTCAATTTATGGGTCCTATCAATACAACTATTGGCTGCCTGAAGAAAACAATTCAAGCCTTATAGGGTACAAATTGAGCTTACTAAAACCCAAAGCACAACAAAGCAAAACAACAGTGTTTCAACGAGCTACTCAACTCTTTTGAATACTATGGAGAGAGTATGCCTTTTAACGGACAGATATATTTCTATGTTGGAAATAAAATAATAAATATATAACATGACTTCCCTAAAATAATTATGTATTTAAACTATATCGTCTCTCCTATTTGAAGACATCTGAATGATTTAACTCTTACTTCCTTAACTACCCCTGCTACCACTCACTTGGGACTTTTGTGCAATTTCCTAAAAGATACTGACCTGAATTAACTTGATAATTGTTTTATTGCTAGTTGTAAAACATTGCATTTCAAAGCATATAAGGTTTTCAGATTTTAAATCAATCCTATGACTTTATTGCAATGTTGTAAGATTATATAGTTTTTATCGTTGGTTTCTTGATGAGAACACAAATAGAGAAAAACATTTAAAATAAACTGAGAAAAATAAGTATATGAATACAAGAAATGTCTTTCAGATATAAAGGCATATATATAAATCTGGAGCTAAACATCCAGTGAAGGAAAAATATACCCACCCTTAATATCTTCCCTAAGTCTTCTAAGTTTCATCAGAGGACTCTGTTCAACCTTTAAAATTCTTGCATAAAAAATTTCTGTCCTCAGAAAACTAATAGGGAAAAATTTTAATTATATGTTTTGCTCTTTGCATATACATAATTATTTTTCTTTATAGCAGTTTGGCATTAGAAAATTTTACAGATGAGATAACCAATAATAATTAATAGAATTATTTTAATATATTAACTTTTATGAAATGTCTTTGAGGTTTGAGGTATGGACTATGATTGAATCCAGGAAATAAAAGAGTTTCTTATTTTGGATGCCTCCTGGCTTAAAATGCAAAACCCGGGAATGCATTCATGGCAATTCTTATGAATGCTTTGAGGAGTCACAAATGACTATGTTTCTGAAATCAGTTCATTAGTTTATCTAATTTATTATGTCCATACAGAAGTGCCTTGCCACAGCAGAAACAGTGAAACTGTTCTTTCATATTCAACTAGTAATTAATTAGCTAGAATTCAAGTTGCTCACTATTACTATAACAGCAATATAGTTTTTAATATTCGATACACTATAACATATGATATTTTGGAGAGTGATGCTATAAGTGGATAAGTCCAGCTTATCACAAAGTATACTGACCCCTTAATAGGGACATAATGAGTGAAGTTAGCATCTGTACCTCCGAAATAAAAACTTAACATCAACATGCCTATTAACAAAATGAGAAAAAAACTAATTAAAGCAAATTAGCCTAATGTGCACATGCTGGATAAGACAGATTACTTCTAAAAATCCGAGAAGATAATGGTACCCATATGGGATATGTTTTTGGCATTTTTCATATAAATTGGACAGTTTTAGAGGATAAATATGGTACAAAAGTCCTTACAGGCAATTATGTCTTTACAATGCTGGTGGCTGACATCATAAAAGTATAATTTTAATTGCTATTAATTGCATTAAGTCTACTCTTATTGAATACTTAATGCCATCTCTGACAGTAGTACTAATTTATATACTTTAATGAAGCTTCATGGTAGAAGTTTGGAATTATAGAGCCATTTAAACTATGTCTTAAGTAGTACATTTTATCTGACAATAAGTTCTAGATATAAGGATATCCATTGGATATTTTTTTCTTTGAAAATAGGTTTGCGTTTCCCCCATTTTTTATGTGATAAAGTGATGTTGCCAGCTTTTTTTGTACAATAGTTTTTGAAAAATGCTTCTAGTCATGTTTATTACACATCTAAAACAGCTGTTGTCTCCCCAATGTGTTGCCGATCAAAATACACTTTATAAAAAAATAAAATTATTAACTTGCAAAATTTGGCTACCATAATTCCAGGCACCTGTCTTCTTTAGAAGAAAGTATATATTTAAAACTCATAAAAGGTTAAGAGATAATTCAGTAAAGAATAACTATTGTAAAAGGCAGAAAAGATGCTGAATAAATCAACAAGATAAAAAGCTCTATCAACATTGCATCTATCTGTTGGCGTTCTTCTAGTGCCACGAGTTACTGGACGTCTCTGCTGTTTGTGTGATTTACATTATTAAATGATGAGAAATTCATTCATCTCCATCAGTGCTAGTTTCAATATTTGTGAATTAGTAATCTGCCTGGTTGCACTAATGGGAAAATGCATCCATTATTGCCTTTTTAATTTGTTTTCATGTTAGTTTACTAAAAACATGTTATTTGAAATGGTAAAGACATCATATAGGAGATAAATTGAGTGCAAGAGAAAATCTTTGCTCTCTTAGGCTGTGCCTTTTGGTAAATTCTAGCCTGTTATTTCTGCTCAGAAAGGCATGCTTAATAAAGCGAACAAGCACAAATGTCAGGTAAAATATGCCACGTACTTTTATATGCCCTATCGATTTTTCCTATAATTAAAGTGATGAACACACACTGTTTGGTAATAATGAAGCTAGATCTCCATTTGAGAATTTTTTAAAGGTTTAGCAGAGTCAGTTTCAGCCTGTTGCCTTTTGGTAAAATATTTTTGCTCAAATTTCCCTAGAGATATCTGAGTAAAAAGCAGGATTGTGAGGGGTAAGTCAAAGGATTTTAGAGGTCTACAAAAGTTTCAGTTTCCTTAGGTTTAGCTTGCACTGTTTATGAACATAGGAATTGGTTTAAAAATCTCTG